CCACCCTTTCACGAATAGACGGTTCACGATCTTCTTGTTCATCTTCGGGCGTCACTAGCGAAGACGAGGCGGCAGGCTTCTTTTTCTTGGCACCACCTTTGTAGGAGCGGAGATTGTTGAGCGCCCGTTTCCACACACTTGTTTCTTCGATATCAGGCACCACACTGAGAGGACTGGCATGGCTAAAATGGTCCTTGGCTTGCCATAGGGTTTCCAAAGAGCCGGATCTAAAGAGCTGGGTTTTCGACTCGGCCCGAATCAGAGACAGTTGGTCGGGGGTCATCCAACATGACATTTCAAAGTCCAATGCGGCGTAAATCAAGATCAGACCAGAGGGGACAGGGATCAACGAGTCGAATAAGGGCTGCTCCATGTGGTAGGTGTCTGATGAGGGAGAAGGCGACAGCAACGCATCTGCTGACTCGGAAAGGCTTTGACGACTCTTGATTTGCTGATTATGGACAAGGATTTTCAATGTAACGGCAGATGTCACGTTGCCACCCCTATTTCATAAAAAGTAATCAGTCAATCGCTCACATACCTTGTGCTTTACTTACGCAGAGTCACCAACGATGATGATGTTGAGGTCCTTGTCACCCGAAAGGCCAAAAGAGCGTCCACGGTCACGGATCAGGGTCACGTAGAGATCAAAGCATTCATCAATAGGCCACGGGTAAGGATATTCAGGGGCTTTTTTGTAATTCACGCTACAGATGGGGAGGCCAGTTTGTTTCGCCCAGGCTGCCAAGTAATCTTCATGACAGGGAGGAGGCATGGACACAAAGCCGCCGCCAGGAAACTGGAGTAAGATGGTGTTATGTTGAGCCAGAGTATCAGGGTCGCCAGTATAGTAAAAGTACACTTCAGTCGGGGGTAGATGCTGGCGGTAATCGGGACGTTCAAGTTGCAGGATACGCCTCATGCCAAAGGCAGGACGAGTCAATTTGGAGAGAGCGGAAAGGAATGGATTGGTGGCAGCCTTTTCCCAAGAGACACGCATTTGTTCCACCGACATGGTCGCACGTACACGACGCACCTTTTCTTCGGCGTCATCAGCAAAGACCAGGTAGTAAAAGGAGAAGAGGAAGGAGCAGAGATGGCGTAACCAAAGGGGCTTCAACGGCATGGCTGTGAAGAATCCCGCATCCAAGGCTGTCAAGATCCAAGTAGCACGGTAAAAGCTTCTTTTGTACTACATAGACGAATGATGATGAGATGATGGTTATCTCTATACATTCTACTTACCAATCTGGCTAGAGGCTCAGGTGCTATGGAGAAGAGAGAAATGGGTGAGCGACGAGACAAAAAGAGTTCAAGACAATACCATTCAGGCCAACAAGATGGAACAAGTTTTGTAAAAGGTAATAGGCCAGCCATGCTGATACTGTAATTTTCCAAGGAGCGGTGCCAGCTATGATAGATCACACATGAAATTCAGAGATGAGTTGCATTTGTATCACGTTGTCCTCAAGCGGCCATCGGGTAATAAAATAAAAAGCGGGGTGTGTGTGTTCAGGTGCTGTACTTACTGATAGACGCATTCGCCCTTTGCAACAGTCCTGGGAGTCGCTTGGTCCTGCCTTTGGTCACAAACCACCAACTAGTAAACAGAAAGAAGGTGAGTGAGCTGCACCAAGCAAGCCATGTCTTTCTTACCCCACCGTCAATGTCAACAGCACTTGAGTTCGTTTCCAATTCGCAGAGGGCTTGCCAACAAGATGGTCCAACATTATGTATTATGTATATGTATATGTAGAGATAAATGTACAGATCTATAGAAAGGATGGTGAAAAGATATACAAGCGAAGGAAAGAAAGGAAAAGGAAGGACGGAAAGGCGGGGGAGCTAAGATAAAGGGGTGGTGTATTTCAAATGCCGATGTCGGAGTATGGTTTGGATTTGCATGTGACAGCTCTTCACTCTTAAGCAGGTCCGTCGTCCTTTTTTTTTTTCTCGTCCCTCTCTCTCTTTTTACTCTTTGACCAATTTTTAACCAGCGAACGAATGACGAAGCGAGTGGCAGACGATCCACCTGATGGCTCTGACAGCAGCACGAAACGACAATGTACCAACAATGACAATCTCAACCGTATCAAATCACATTTAAAGGCACGATTATCCGAACGCTCTTTACCCACACGCCTAGTAGGGGTCCAAAACGAATACGATCGCTTGTACCAACTTCTTTGCCAAACCGTCAGCAAAGGCGAAAGCAATTCATGTCTCATGATTGGAAATCGTGGTACCGGCAAAACCGCCATGGTGGGCATGGCCTTGGACAAACTCTCGCGCCAATTCCCTGATGGGTTTGCCACCGTGCGACTGAATGGATTGATCGAAACGACAGATCGGATTGCTTTGGGTGAAATCTCTCGACAGCTCATGGTGGCTCAAGGCAAAGTCCATGAACAACTTCGAGCGTTTGTAAGTGAGGAGGAGGGTATGCAATTTGACACTGACACTTTGTTGATAGAACACCTTTGCCGAATCGTTTGAATACACTCTATCTTTGCTGAAACAAGGGGACAAGACGACGCTGCCTATTGTGTTTATCCTCGAGGAATTCGACTTGCTGGCTCAACATCCAAAACAAACCCTGCTGTATAATCTGTTTGACGCCACACAGAGCGCCCAGAACCCAATGGCGGTGATCGGTCTGACATGTCGTATCGTAAGTAAGATGTCTCTTTTGTAGAGTGGTGGACTCATTTCCCCTTCTGTTCGATAGGATACGATGAACTTGTTGGAAAAACGGGTGCGATCACGGTTCTCTCATAGACAGATCTACTTGTTCCCTCCTGCTACCTTTGGTGACTTTGTGGACATAGCTCGGGAATCTTTAACCGTGCCTCCTGGTGTGGCTGATCAAGAGTTTGTCGATCCATTTAATCAGGCTGTGGTCGTAAGTGGAGATGATTATGGAATGGTTTAGGTATCGAGGTCAATTACTAAATGGGACCCTCTTTGATTGGTATAGGCGCTGTTTGAAGATTCCTCTATGAACACTCTCTTGCGGCGGATCTTTGACATTACTAAAGATCTTCGGATGTTCTTCAAGATTTGCGTAAGTTGATGAGGGAGAGAGGGGATGGCGCAATGCCTAACTTGGTCCATTACGAGTAGTTTGAACCGGTAGCACAATTATGCGATGCCTCGCCCCATCTACAGGTAT